AAAATAGTAAACTGTCAAGTCTCCCTTACGTTTATTTTTTTAAAATAGTTTGATAACCACATGTTAGGGTCATTGCTATTTTGTTTTATATAACAAATATATATATCAGCATCAGACATTTTGACTCCCTAATAGAAGTACTGACATCATATTGATTGGGTTCTAGTAAAAATACTTCTTGACTTAAATCGTGACGCATCATTTATTATGATTTGTAATCTTTTGGTTTACTTCTACATTTTATTGTTTTTATTTTCCTTCATATGTAGGAAGTTATGTTTGCTGGTCAGTTGTATTTTAAAAGCTCCTAATGTTTTTAATCTTATTCTAAAAATGTAACTATAGCGATAAATCTATTGCAGTGGAGTAAAATAATACAATATTTCCCTAAAAACTATTTAATTGGAGCCTAAAGTGTTAACACTCAAGTCAAGTGCAGTTAACTCAAAACTGCACTTACATACAAAGCAAATCTTATTTCCCACTACTGCTTATTTATCCCTTGTACTGACAACATTCCGCCCTGTGTATAATCCTAATCCGATTATTTATTCCTGTAACCTTTGTCTAAAAGCAGCTGATTCTAAAATGTGTCTAGAAAAAACCCAAAGTTATGATCCTTTTATTTTCACCATCTGTTTTTTAATCCACTGAGATTATAAATATCTTTATGAAGTGTGTCTTGGCCGAGATAAGAAGCGACAAAAGCGAGCTGCAGATAAACAACGTGAATCAGATACTAGATATTAATGCAATAACTCTGAATTACACAGAAAAAATGACGGATGCGATTTCTAAACAGATCAGAGAAAAGATTTTATCCATCTCGAGAGGAATCTACAGTGAAAACTATGAAAAGACAACAGGCATCAGTGATGAAAATGTACATGGATGACAGTGAAATTACTTACTCGTGGGTTTCTGCGAAACAAAATGTCACAGTATCAGTTTTATTTCTCATATCGCAATAAAAAACTTGTTACGTTTTAAGTCTCGAGTCCACGGTTGCCGCTGCAGTCAAAACAGAGGGAGTTCAGGCGCGTTGAGGAGTTCTTGTCCGACTTCTGACTGTCGCAAGGCGAAGAGCGTGACGCCTGAACCGTACGCTGCAGGGATCGTGATGTGCGTTAACAGGGGTCGCTCCTGTTCCTCTTCTCGGACCATCTGACCCACCTGACCTAATCGAAAGGAAAGAGGGAGACATTTTAGTGGAATGTTTTTACGAGATAAAAAACATTAGTCAAACTGAAATCGTCAAAAAAGGGATTCACCCTCAACATCCAGGACTTTCCATCGCGGGTCAGACTGGCTCTCTGACAAACCCTGCATACAGGAATCAGGCACTAATCGCTGCAGGACGTCTTCTCGGCGAATCAGCAGCACTGATTCGCTGCAGAGTCGTTGGTGCACCTCAGCCTCGCTTACTAGAAGAAATTTGACAAAATGATAACACTGGGATGGATGACAACACAGGAGTCCATCCCTTCCCGTTACTCACCTACATCTAAAGGATTTGTCATGAAAACAGCATTAGGTGCGACCCCAAATATGAGCTGGTGGTGCCAGGCGTCGGGCACCTCCTCTCCCTCGGGCACAGCCAGCTGCATGTTCATGGTCGCCACGGGAACAGCGCTCTTTCGAATCCAGCGGGCGAGCCAAGGGATTAGCTTCACCCGCCGGCGAGGGTGAAGGTGGAAGAAGCGACCCATCACTGCGCCTTTACTGGCCTCCTCTGCTCCTGCGATAAGCTGAGCGTGAGTCGCACCTGAAAGGAAATATAGTCCTTATTTGACCTGTATGGTCATTAGAGAAACACAGGATCACACTTTTTATGATAGATGAATATACATGTTTGTTTTCAACTCAGACCCTCATGTGTAGGACGAGGGCTAGAGTCAAAAACCCAAAATGTCAAGTGTAAAAAGTGGGGAGCTGAAAATGTTAATTACAGCTTCTCCTCCGAGGGGAATGAAACTCATTGCCCAATTGAAGAGGGTCGTATTTGGAAACAGCTGCTTGGCAGTGCCACCGGCTGTCGCCCCGGCAGGAAGGAAGCAGCGATCGTGGGTTCAAGTTGTGACGCAGCCTCATTCGGTGCTGCGAATTAAGGTCACAACCGGTATCTGTGAACCTTTAAATATTACTGCCCGTGGAGCCCAGTTAAAATATGCACCAGTACAGAGTCATCCTTCATATATTCATAATTTACAAGAATCTGTTGGGAGTTAAAAGTGTTTCTCGCTTAATATCTGCCAGTGTAGTGTGACATATTTAAAAAACTGGAATAAAAGCAACATTATAAATACTTTACCTGCAGAATTAAGCTGTTTGATAGTTGACTGCATCAGGACCAAACTGCTTAAGGGTGATTTATGCACATTTACTATTATCTAAATAAAAAGCTTTGCTCGAATTTCAGATTTATATCAAAGAATATTCATATAATTGTAATTTCAGATGAGGACATGTGGGTTATTGAGAAATCATCTACTCACACGCAACAAAATAAGTCACATTAAGTTTGAGGTTCTGAGAAAACAGCAGTTTTATAGTAAATTTAAAAAAATTGAGCCGGAACATAGGATATGCTCTTTCATGATTAACTGCAGCACTCACTCTGCTGAAACGTGTTTATGCAGGTTTAACCTCACACAGGTGAGGACATGATCGGTGGTAAGCAACGCCCTCAGCTGCAGTTTTGGCACCAGTGTATCATCTGAGAAATTTACCAGCTTCGCTCCGGGACAGCAGATAGTCAGGCAGCGGTGACTCGTTCCTCCTCAGGCGAGTTTGCACACAGCGATCGGCCTCCTCGGGGGCCACGTCCACGCCGAGGGCCTTCAGGACGTCCACCACGGCCGTGGCCCCGCAGGCTGACGCTCCTATCTGCAGGGTCTGCCTCTCCAGAGCCTCCTGGAGGGACCACAGCATGGCTCTGCAACCCTCCTCTTCCTCATCAGGAGCTCCACAAAGCTGCTCACACTCTGACTCCATCTGAGAGGCTCACCTGCAAAATCAGGGTTGTAGATGCGATTACAACTCCGTTTCCTGAGCATCTGTGAACATGTGTTGCATTAATCTACGTGCAAAATTAAGCCAAAGTGAGATAAAGTATAGATTTACTATAAAATGTATAAATGTGTCTTAACCCACTTTAGATTATTGTAAAAGTCATTGATAATATTTCTCACTATGCAACTTCATCTCTTGATTGTACCAAACTGAATACACATCCTCCTTCACCTCCATGTGTCATAACAACAATAATAAACAGTGTGTCTGTGTTTTCTCACCATGACAGAAGAACCCGGCTGCAACAATGACAAACTGCGCATGCGCACACCACACGTGGTCCTTTCTTCAGGGCTTTGTTTGCGCCGGGTAGGACAAGGAGGCGCAGGGACAATCAGCGCCCCCTGCTGACCGCCTCCAGCCACGACAAGAGAGAAACGCACCACACAACTGGAGATGACAAAACCACAACATGCATAGTTCAATTCTCCAGGTAAGTCGCAGTATAATGTATATTTGTGATCTGTGCTATTCAGCGTATGTATTCTACAGGTCATGTACACAGATTCATCCACGTTATTAAGGCAAACACACGTGCAACAAATACAAAATAACTGAATGGCTGCATTCAGTTATTTTGCTCAACCTTATTTTCTAGCCAACAGACAGAATAAGTAAATGTGTATAAAAATGTTTGTGTTCAAATATAAAATGTCAAGGAAAAACTCTTTTGAGCCATATCCAAGAGCCTCAGCCAATTCTGTATCAACAGCTGCCGCAGCGATACGGATCCTTAAACGCTCTGCACAGATAGAATCAGGAGACTTAGCGCTTTCAAGCAACGTGTGATCCGTCGAGCTTGTGTGAACGGCACAAAACAAAATGCACCTAAAGTGTCTCAGCGGAGGGAGGGTGGCGGGGGTATTGCAGATACATCAGAAGCACAAAGCTCAGGGAAGAAACTCAATACAAAATAAACGACTGTGTATATTAGAGCACAAACAAGTACAAGTGCCATTTGACCTTAGAAACAGACAAGCATAGACAAAAAGTACCTTTAAAAGACATTTTATCAATAGCAACAGATGCATTGTACCTTAAAATAAGTTAATTATAATGTATATTTATAGGCTTTTAGATATTGTGACAACTTTGTGCTTTTAATATGAAGCAAACTCTCCCCTCCTTATTAAAAAACCAGACCAGCACCACGTGACTGGAGTAATAGTTACAAAATGTCTTTTTTTTTTATGACATTTCATAAATAACTCCCACAAACTGGCAAATAAATGTCTCTAAAGAAATACCTAGAATGTTTTTTCAGATGAAGGGATTTCATAATTGGAATTCTCAAGAACGCGTGAAAAGAGCTGATGAGTTTAACAAGTAACATCATCTAATTCATGACAAAACTGAAACCGAGTGGTCTCCCGCTGACTATTACGACCACAAATCAATCCCAAAAACTGAGAGTGGAGGGTCAGCATGCTCAAAAGGTCTTATTTTGAATTTCAGTTATTTTAGACCCTTGTTTAAAAGTGCTCTGGACTCCAAAGACTGCCACATATGCTGCTCTTCTCCCTGCTGCACTCAGATGCAGCCATGCTGACACTGCCAGTTTTCCATCAAGCCAAGAGATGTCAGTGTGGCTGCATCTGAGAGCTGCACAGTGACAACAGCAGCCTATGTGGCAACGCAGCAGATGCAGTGTGGTGTCGCCTAGGTTGTTGCTAGGAGGGGGGGGGGCAGCCTGAAGGGAGCAGCGTGTCGCCGACGGCCGCCTCCCTTTTTGTGTCCTGCACAGTTATCACACGTGGACGTGGAAATCGAGAGACAGCAGACAAGCTCTTCCGGAAAAGTCAGAGCAGGGTTGTTATAATCAGGATGCTGCTTTTGTCCTCGTTCTCCTTATTCATACAGATTTTACTTTCCATTTACAAGGTCAGAGGTTTAGAGCAGGCACTTGTGAACTACACTTCATTTCGTGAAGCGCAAATGACATCCAACGGCAGGGGGTTGTGAAATCAGAGACTTTGATCATGATATGATTGCTGGTGCCGGACGAGCTGGTTTGAGTGTTTTCCGAAACAGCTGATCTCCAGGGATTTTCACACAAAACAGGCTCTAGCTTTTACTCAGAACGGCGTAAAAAACAAGACAGAAAACATCCAGTGAGCGGCAGCTCTGTGGATGGAAATGCCTTGTTGATAGAAGAGGTCAGAGGAGAGCGGCCAGGGCTGGTTAGAGCTGACAAAAAGACTTGTCTTTACAAGCTGTGGTGTGCAGAAAAGCATCTCAGGATGCACAACGCGTCCCAGCTCAAGGCGGGTGGACTACAACAAGAAGTCAGGTTGCGCTGCTGTCAGCCAAGAACAGAAATCTGAAGCTGCAGTGAACACAAGCTCATAAACACTGGACGGTAAAAGACAGGACAACACAATCTGCTCAGGTGAATCTCAGCTGCAGGTTTGGTTTCATAATACCAGAGATTGCCTCATGTTGTCATTAGCCATTTTCAGATATGAACTCCAGAAAATATCCGGATTATTGTGCCCAGACATTATCCAGAGTGTTCCTTTTGCATAGAAAGAACGCAGCAGGAGAATGTCTGGGTTGGACACGTTCCCCAAAACAGGACACTCTCCGGAACATTAAGGCAGCGGGTGGCATCTGGGTAGAGCGTGCAGTGGGCGGGACATGATGTATGAATTACGCAGTGGAAATGTCATGTTTGGTGAATCCTCCAGACATTATCCTGCTGTATTCTCACATGGGCTCACTCAGACGTTTTCCTCAGAGACTGGCAGGAAATGTTCAAGAGATTGTCTTGTTTAACCACCAAGACAAAGAACTGAAGCAAGTCAGGTGGAAAAGTGATATGAATGAGAGATCCAAAGACTTTTGGTTTATTTAATAAGTCTAAGCTTTGCCTTGATCTTCCTACAGTAACTTTATCCGTACTGATCCGTGATCACGGACATCAATCCTGGTTGGTATTCATCTCAACTCCCCTACCTCCGCAGTGTCTAGTGATGGCTGCTGGAAGTACTGCAAGCGGAGAGTGATTAAAAGTGACTGGGCTCTCCGGGCGCAATCCAGCGGCCTGTACAAAGCATGCCAACAAAGAGATGAGGGAGGAGGGGAGAGTCTTCACATGTCAGGGACAAGCAGAGAAGCTGCGTCAGTGACCCACAGGCAGCCTTCACTTCAACATCACCTTTTCTTATTTGCATCTGTGGAGACGCTGAAGAGAAAGCGATGGAGTGGGGTTTTCTTTTTGTAAAGGCTCAACTATTAGTCATCAGACCCGTCAACAAATATCTTGTTTGATGTGAATGCTGTGGACATGAAGGTTGAGGAAAATAAAGATGTGACAATAAATTGAAGAAGCTGAACAGTGAAAAGAACCCGCTTGTATGCAAGTAAAAGTCTGAAGGCTGCTGCTGCAGCTTAGAATTGGTAGTTAACTGGATGTGTATTACTGTGTTCTCTGTGGACACTGTACGATGATTAACTGAGATCTGTAGCTCCGTACAATGGAGCATTAGCACCTGAATTGAGGAAAATCTTAGGCAGAAGCTCAGTTCACCATCAAAAATCATATAATTTGCAAAATAATTTATTCCAACAGTTTCAGACATATACCTCATAAACTGCAGGTCATGTATAAATCACCTACTCTGCACTTTTTTCGCATGTTTCCTATATTGATACACAAACTTCACTTCAGCTAAGCGTAAAATCGTATTTACAATATTTCAACAATTTTTTGGCAAAACTCAGCTCCGGTCTTTCTACGCAAAAATGCACAGGTTGATGGAGACATGTTGATCTGTGTATTAGACACTGCAGAGTCAATGGCTGTTAAACTTACACTTCTAGACTGTCCTGCACAGAGACATGCTCCGACCTCACAGCGTGGCTGCGTCGCGTCCCAGCTGCTGCGTAACATCTTTTTGACACGACTGACGTGAAATAAACAGAGGTGATGACAACATACAGGCACTCATGGAAACTGTCAATAAGACAAATAAGGGAAATGAACATTTAGGGCTGGATGAGATCAAGCATGTGATGGTAGGACACGAAAATAAAACAATAGAAATAGAGGAAAACAGAAAGACAGCATGATATGGTGGTGATGGTGGTGTGGAGGGTGTGCTCTCTGCTCCACTACTTCTTTCACCAGGTCAATTTTTCCACGTCTCTGAAGCATGAAATTCATTTGTGAATGTTCGGAACCTTGTACCTATTGACACGGCATTAATATCTAACGGGGCATTTCAGAGGTTATTGACTTTACGAGCGCGCGGGAAATCTGTGACTTACGAGAAAGAATGTTACAGTTTTCTATTTTCTATAAAACAGCTCAGCCACTATGTGACATAAATATGAGAGAGAAGATCAAATTAATAATAATATTTGGAACCAGTAGACATGTTTACGTGGACACTAATATCAGTGAGACAAATTTTAAATAGAATATTATTATCAGATAATAATCAGATTCAGTTCATCAGATAACATTTTGTTTAAGGTGCACCAAATTGAAAACATTTATTTTTGTAGCTAGCTGCCTTGTTATTCAACAAAGAAATGAATGTTGGCATAGCCTTCTACTTACAGTTAGCAGTGCAGATCACAGAGTATCCACTAGATAGCAACATAAGATGATGCATCAAATATTGTTGACCCTTTGCCATTCTGTTTTCCAATATCTTTATGTCTGTTGAAGTGCACAGCTGGAGGCCTTTTAAGATTGTTTTTCCTCCATCACACAGCGCTTATACTCGGGAAACATCAACATCATTTCTACGAAAGCGGCACTGCTTCTAGCGAACCTCCAGGTCCCGGTAGATGTTAAGTCATAAACATACTTGTAAAAAAATAAGAGGGAACAGCAATCGAGAGGAGGTGTTCTATGTAAAACAGCATCTTGGTTAATCCTGTGATCTTTACCATCATGGCAGGAAATGGGGAGAAAAACCTGTTATATGTATGCAGGCCTGTGGGCGTCCCTTTGGAATACTATAGGAAGCAGAGTCTATTTAAACACTATCTCCATGACCTCTGTGCACGGCAGTTCTGCAGGGATCTACAGGATTAACCGGCGCCTCTTAGGTAAGCTGAATCATAATAAATAGCAACGACGCTTTGAAAACACCCATAACAGCACATTAGCATTGAAATGAGGTAGCGGGTATGTCAGGGAGGTAGTGCTGGGTCA